AACTTTGTGCTTCCCTTTTTCACAACTAATGTAAAACACTGTTGAAAAACATTTGCAATGTCATAAAATGCTTATGATTTGACAAATCTGAGAACATTCAAGTCTGACTACCTCTCCCCAGCTGTAGCATTCCAAGCAGTCTGGAAGATAAGAACACATTGTCATTATTAGAAGACAAATGCTTTGCAAAATGGTTCAGGGTTTTCCTAATAAATGCAAATTACGAGGTTACTGCTTTATGAAAGAAATTTGAATTTTTGATGGTGTGAAATATTAGAGAAACATGGCACAGATTCATCTACATAAATCCAACTATACAAATGTATGGAGTTGAACACAGTTTGCTTCTTCTTGGGAAAATTATTACTGCATATACTGTAGCTCACTCTCAGGAAGTGACGTTATAGGCTATAAACTACTATGTCAATGATCCCTCTAAAGTGCATGGCACTAATTAGTCAGAAGACAGCTTGGTTTTCTGTAAGTTAGCCTAGAGATAAATAGAAAAATCATGGTAGAATTTTTATTTATTTTTTTTTTTGTATTAATAAGCACAGAATTCCTCACAAAAATTTGCTGGCAAGAAACCTAAATTTTCTTAACCCTTTTTCCATACTTGCTTCAGTCAGAGCTGACAGAGGTTATATTTTTTAAGAGAGGGCATCAATCCAAGTTCTGTCGCATCCCATTGGCAGTATATAAAAATGATTTGCTAATATGCGAGGCCCTCTTTTTCTTTAGGTCACATTTGTTTAAAATACAAGTTACTGAAATATCCCAGGAACAATCCCTGCGTTCTGAGCATTTGGTAAAAATATAACTTCCTTTTCTTTTAATTTTCTGTAAGGAATGCTCCTTTAAGGGTTGCTATAACAATGCAAGCTGCTATTGAGACTGTAAACATTAATGATGACTTGGAAGTTGACACCCTGCAAAAACATTACAGTCATTCTAAGTAAGACTTCCAACAGCACTGCCATAATATGCAACCCCTACTGAGAACAGCAGGATTCTGAGTTTTTGAAGAAAATAGTCTATATACTAGACAGCAAAACTGCAATGAAGGGAAAATAATACACTCTAATTTTGCAACAAACCAAAATTCCCACTTCAGCATATTCTGATGCCATATTCGTTATGTTTTGGGAGGTCTGTCAAGCCACGTTTAAAGCAACATTTGCCTGCCAAATCCAAATTGGCTCTACATCTCTCTGGAATCAAACTTTTGCTGCTATTGTTGTTGCCTTTCTTTTGCAAATGCAATAAAAATATGTGTTAGGTTACATGTGACCTTGAATATAACTTACCATGTAGGAAGCATAGAAACAAACCAACCACCAACCCGGCCAGATGCTCATAGGATATTTTGAGGGCGTAAAATCCAAATTTGGGCTTCACTCCAAATCTGAGAGCTTTAAAATAGAAAAAGGAAAATCACAGGTTTGTGTCTTGAATACATTTTCTGATTGGTTTTCACAAATACAGTTGGTAAAGAAGGCTGAGGAATGCTGGGAAGGACAGGGAAGGACAAGGAAGGACGCTTCAGTATAACCTGTTCTGTATTTAGTGTTCACTAATGCACAGTTCCTGTGAGAAGCAACAGAGCAGCAGTTAACAAAACTGAGTTGAAAGGAAAATAGTTTTAGAGACTCATGGCTATTTAGTTTTGTCTTCCTAACTGAATATTATTTGGGCTTGTTTTACAGCACAATTGGAAATGTATTTGACTAACAATTTTCAGATCAAAAAGACATTACTAAAGATAAGTTCATGAAATATTCCTCTCCAAGGAGCATTGTTTTTGTCCAGGCCAAAGGTGGTGGTTGTGAGCTGGAGCTTTCCTTCCCTCTTCCTGTGCCACACTGGAGTCTTTGTGGCTTTTGGTCTTTTGCACTATAGGTCGTAGGCTTGTTACAGGGTGTTGGGAAGTATTTTGTGGTTTGTGGGGACCCTTCTGGACTAAAGAGCTTTTTGACATAGTTGTCCGTGACTGTAGGAGCCTGGCCTTATGGTCCTCTCCAGCACTGTGATTTTCATTTTCAACAGAGTTGATCTCAAGGGTGAATTGTGTTGCCCTGCAGAGGTTGCTATGCGTGGACTCTTGTAAATCCAGGTGGCCATTAGTTTTTCTGTTGTTGCACTGGCATTTCACAAGACTCCATGTAGGGGTTGTGCCACTTCAGCCTTCGAGACTCCCGAAATGTGGAAGGTAAAACCTGACCACATGGTGTGACTGTTACGGAGGACCCTGTGCAGAGCCAATGATCCTTTTGGGTGCCTTCCAATTCAGCATATTCTGTGATTGTGTTCAGCCTTGGTTCTGGGCTAAAAAATGCATTTTCTGATTTTAAATAACTCTATTTTTAAATCCCTTTTTAAAGGGACAGACCCATAGTATTTAAAAATTCAAATTCCACAAAATTCAAATACATATAAAAATTTTGTAAAAAAAGACTTTTCTTCCACTGATTTACATTGAGCCATCATCTTACATTATACCATTTGAACCAGATACGAATACCCAAAGTTCCTGTTCTCAAGATCTTGCAAAGTAAACGTCCTTGTGAATCAGAGCACAGGAAGTGATGAAGGACACAAAGAGTTTGCTGCAGCAGTGTCCTGCACAGAGCACATCTTTTTTTAGTGACAGGACAAACACTTCTAAGCATGTGCACGTTCTACAAGGATGGAATTTCTTTCAGGAGTGATAATGGCTGATACAAACAAAGTATTCAGCTGAACTTGTATATTGAACATTTTGAACCTGTATATCCTGTGCTGGAGGGAGATATTTGGCCAGGGCCCATACACACTTCATTGTGCACTGCTCCAAAAGAGGCAGCAGTTATGTACCATAATGCCCTGTCTTCACATATCCCATGTTTTTCTGTCCTCTTTCTAACCTTCTCTAAGGATGTCCTTAAGTTTTACAGTACATTCAAAGAATCTGGATGCAGGATAGCACTAGCTCTTAGAAGTTATTTAGCTACTTGTCACTTAAATCTTCAGAGACTGTACTGTCCACAAGGTCTGTTTGGAGTTCAGAAAACACCTTCTATTTTAGTTTCCATGCAGCTCATGTAAGTGTCACGGGATTTTTGTATTATTTAAAAAAAAAAACGCCAGCAGAAAAAGATGTTTTGAAGCACAATTTTTTTACACTGACATGTTTTTTATTTTTTGGGTGGTTTTTTTTTTTTTCTTTTTTAATGTTTTGGTTAAGAGCTCTTCTCCTGTTGTCTGGAAAATAAATAGCTTTTATATGAAAATAGTGATTTTTTCTCCCATCCTAGGAAGATGCATTCAAGGTCAGCTTTGATAGAGCACAGCTGTGTAACCTTGGACTGAGCTGCTGTGAAAACAGCTGATAGACGTCTGGTCTAGGGCAGACCTCAGCTTGGGAATCATGTTCAGGATCAGGCACTTGCTCTCTGGAGATACACTGCAGATGTGCTGGGCTGGCGGTCATGCACTTCTGATCCTCACCTTGCTTGGCCCTGACCCTACTGCTGCCACTGGACTGCTCTATTTGTTGTGTTTAGAGGCTGTGGGAATGGGCCCCTGTCATAAGGCCATGATTCCTCCTGCCTTGCCGTTCCCTCAGCTCCCTGCCCACCCTCACTCACAGAGCAGCCCTATTGTTTCATCTCCCTGGTTAAACTGTAGCCCCAAAGTGTTATGATGTTTGGATTTGCATAGGTGGATTGTGATTTTTTTGTGATTACTTTCACTAACAATTCAAAATACAGGTAGGCAAAGGCCTAGCTACCTACTCACTGTCTTGTTTTGGTAGGGATTAGAGAGTTGAGCAAAATTTGAGCAAATTTGGGACCCCTTGTTGTAGGCAGGATAAAATGTAGCAAAAAGCTTTGTCATTTGCTCCCATCCATCACTGGCAAAGTGCCCCAGCTTCCTGCATTGTCTTTAACAATACAGCTAATTGTGACCAAAACCTAGAGTAGGATCCCCAAAATTTCATAATGCAAAACTGAATAAGATATGGCCAGGCAGAACATGTTGTACAAATTCTGGACAGCAGAAATAGTATATGAATGGTCTTCAGATAGGAAAGAAAAATTTCAGCCAATATAAGGCCAGCAACAGAGGGAAAACTGGAACAATTAGGAGGCACAGAGAAGGCTAAAATCCACAATACTTATGATGACATTTGAAAAGCCATGGAAATGTGATGAGAGAAGACCAGACATGGACTGTCAGAGCTGCTGTTAAGTGGTACAGTAACTTAATTGTACCCTTGTGAAATAGGGAGTTACAAACTGCATAATATCATAATATAGCTACATGAACTGAAAAGGGACTTGCAGTGAATTCACCTGACATTCAAATTCAGCAAAAGTTGCAGCTTGCATGCATGTTCCCATCTGGAAAGTTTGTGGTGGCCAAGGATGTTGGGACAAGCTGAAAACAGAACCAGAGCTACACTGCAGCACGGGCTTAACTGGCAAGAGGTCCTTCGTGAAAGCTGTCACTGCTGCCATCAACTGTGTAGTCTAGAAGTGAAATACTGTGACTGATCTCAGTCTAATTCCTAGTGGTACACTCCAAATTTCTATCAGAATTAGTGCTAGTGAGCTGTAGTTCCCGAAGAGATGGCACTGCAGGAGGACCATGATGACAGCATTGCTCTCCCTGGTGAGGGGTGATGTACACTTGCAGGTTGTGCCAAAAGACCTTGGTGTATCTGCTCTGTAAGTAATGCACTCTTTGCTGTTTACTGTTATCATTTTGACACTTACAGAAGCATGAAGTCCAAGCAAAAAAAGTTTTTCAAAGAGTATTAGAAAATTTCAGTTTATTTGTTACCTTCTCACATGAGGTGACAAAAACAAACAAGTTCCCTTCCAGCTTTCTGAAAAGATCATCCGAGTTCAGTTCAGTAAAAATACCCTGGAAGCCAATCACCAACCTCTGAAACTGAAATGGAGAACTCAAAAATCCTGATGAGTCCCTTCCAACTCAGCATATTCTATGAAGTTCTATGAAGTTGACATGATTCCTGTTTCATACATACAGCTCAAAGTCCAGAAATATAATAAAGGGTAAAGAGGGAAGTCTGTTACCTATCTAGATTGGAAATTCACACGGTGGAACTGACTCAGGACCAGCCTAACTCTTGCACCCCTACCGATTTCTACTTGGGTGTCAGGTTGGAAAAGCAAGGTCCTTTACTACACAGGCCAGGTGATTTTGCAGCTACTGTAGCCCATGTCAGAAGTAAAGGGAAAAGAGAAATGGTGAGTAAAGTGTGCTTCCATTTACTACTTCTACTTATTTCTTTCCAGTCTACTGTTTTGAGACAAACATTTGCACTCCTCCATTGCTGTTCAATTCTTTAATAATTAATTGCATGAGGGGTACAAGACAAACTGAGGAATCCCATAGTTTGTCTGTGTGACGAAGTTGAAGTTAAGTAAGACTGTTGATTTTCTGCTAAATCAGTACATAGTTATGATGAGTGATATACTTGAATTCTTTTCAAAACCAACACCAAAAAATAATGTAATACCACAAAGTATTGTGAAACCATTAACTGGTTATACTTGGGGTGAGGGAAGGTGGTGGGTAGGGACAAGGAGGATTTTTTCCATTATTTAACTTATTATACATCACTTCCATGTTTTCAAATAATCTGATTTTGTTGAGAGAGCAAAATTTGCTCTGTGGAACTCCACTATCTGTTTCTCTGGTTTCTGGGACTGCGTGCCCCTGCCTTTCTCCCAAAACCTTCTCAACACCCCTCCCTCCTTGTCCTACCCCTTCTTCTGGTCTTCATGGATGGTATGTGCATGTCAGAATGTCTCTATTGGGGAGGACCTCTACCAGATAAGGTAATAGAGGTGGGTTACCTCCTGTTAGACCTTTGCCGCCATATTTCTAGAGTAGAGGAGCTACATTCAAAATCCTCCTTGAATTTTTCCCTGGACCAGTGAGGACAGACTGCAGACTTTGGTCCAAGCTACTTAGATCCCACTCTTAGATTGCAGCTTTATGAATGTGACTAGCCCTTGAAAATGCAGAGTGACTCACACACCATTTCCAGGATTGAGACTAAAGTTGGTTCATGGAAAAGTGAAAGTTGAGTAAGACAACAATGACACAAGGATATTTGTTCATTAAAAACTCAGCATTCCAACTGAATTTTATGGGAAAATGAGTGTTTTGAATTTGTGAATCATCTAATTTGTTAATATTTTTCTTTTCTTTCAAGGAGAACTGACTTAGACTATATTGGTTGTAGATTGGCTATTTTCAGTCTGTTGCAAACCCCATTTCAACTGTTTTTCTGTTTGTATAAAAGTGCATTCCTTACAGGAAAAAGGGCCCAAAGAAAGTAACTATATGCTTGGAAACTCATATTACTGCTTAAGTGCAAGTACACGTGTTTTTGTGAATGTAGAGAACTATAGTGCACCTACACAGACAACAAAGACAAATTAGTATAGATATACAAGGAAGATGCACTTGATAGTCAGTAGAATTGGACAGATGTGGTTATTCATTTATGCCTTATCCACTTCTCTGCCAATATGCTGCTGATCTTCAAAGTTTAAGCACAAGTTATACTTATGAAAGTCTCATATCTACAGCTTCTCTTTTTCAGAGACATGGTTTAACTGCTTCAGTGTCTGCCTACAAAATCTTTGCAATTAAAGATCAAAGAAAAATTGGCATATTACTGGTAAAGGAAGGATTAAAGCCATCTGTAGCCTGGGTAGAACAGGGGGTCCTATTGCCGTCTACAGAAGGTCTGACTCCGCTGGAGAGTGTGCCTAACTGAGCTGTACTCCCTAGAGGAAAGGCAGACCTGTTTATCCATCATGTGCACAGTGAAGCAACATTAGCATGATACATGCTTACCTGTGGCTAGTTCTGGGCTTTGCACACCTGTGGAAGCTGTTGGAGCCTTCTTCACAGCTAGTCAAGATTTGCAACAGAGGTTGGTATGACAGGAAAGCTGCAAATATTCAGGTTTTCTTGACAAGTTGGAGATCTTTTGGAACTTTTTTCTCTTAGAAAATCCACCTGCTTTTGCATCAGGGAGCCCCTGTGGATACAATACAAAGGCCTTCTGCCTTGAGTAGCAGACCTGTAGGGTCATTGCTGCTTCATGGTCTACAGTTTGCAAAACTAAGGCTGAATCTCTCAGCTCTCTGGTTTGTTTGCAGTTATAAGTGTCACAGCCCATGCATCACCCCTCTATGAGCAATGGCAGGTAGGAAAGTGTCTCATGTAATAGCAGCACTGTGGGTTAATAGCTGCACCCCATTCTACACATCTCTCTTGATGTTAGGGCTATGTTGAAAAAGACAGTAATGAGTATTTTTAAGGCTGCCAGTATTTCTACAGTGTAAGAAGACAGGTATCCCATGCTATAGGTGGCATTTTCTTTGCAGGCATCTCTGAAATACTATCAGATTTGTCTGCAAGTGCCATGCAGCTAGGATGGTACCAAGCATCACCTAAGTGCTGTTCAAAAGTAGGTGAGAGAAAGTCTTTGTGAGATAAGTGTAGAAATAAATCCTGATGAATGCAACTGGGTGGATCAGATAATACTTGGAATGATTCCAAAGCTTTCAGATACATGTCTCAATAGCTAGATAAAAATGTGTCATCTAGGGTGTAGTGCACAAATGGAACAGATAATTCTGTGCTTGCCATGCATCTGGGTTAGACTACTACATGCAATTACTTAGCTAAATAAAGAAAATTTGATAAGAAAAAATTTTGCAACTCAGTACTTCCTGATGCTAAAAAGCTGTTCGCCTGTGGAGGTGTTGGCAAGCGTAGCTGCAGGACTAGTGTGGAGTCCAGTTTGCTGCCTGCAGGCAAGTAATGTCAAATTCAGTCCTTCTACATTTTAGTGTAACTTTCTTCAACCGGAATACCCACCACTTGAACAGGCTAGAAATTTTGTCCTCAGCTAGAATGCAATTTGTGAGGTTGGAGTGATGTGATTTTGGGGGTATTGGTTTTCTAGATAGTGTCAAATTGATCCGCCTGTGCATATGAGAGCATTGTGAGTTAATGTGAATCATGAGATACCGTATGCTATCATTCTGGAAATCGTTGGTGAGATTGCTTCCTTTCAACCAATAAATTCTTAACTGTAAATAAAGGTAATGTACACTGAGACCACAGAACAGAGCTTGTATTCGCCTGCTAGAAAACTGTAGGTGTATTTATTATTCAGTAAGGCTTTATAAGCAAACACTGATGCTTATAGAACAACTCTAAGTATCCACATTTCATTGAGAAAATCAAATGTAATCATGGTGGTGTCAGAGGGCAAAAGGGGTGAACATTGCCAAGTAGTTGGGAGGCACTTACATGGACAAACACCATTCCCAGTCATGTAGCTACTCTATACTTAAAAGTGTGTATCGCTTGTCATAAAACTATGAGGATTTCTTAGTAATATAATATCCTTCATTGTAGAAAAGAGATGCCTGTGGAGAATACGTCAGTGGTTTATAAAATCATGAAAGTCATGGGAAGGGTGTAAAGGGCCCACTCTTTCTGTCAGTAAAAGAATTAGAGAATTTTAAGTGAGAACGTCAGGAAGTAGGCTCAGATGAGAGATGGTGGCTCTTTACAACACAGAGCACTCCGCCAAAGGATGGTATCGTAGGTAGGAGCTCACCTGGGCTCAAGATATCACTAAAAATTTGGGGAAACGATACAGTAAGCATAACTAGGTATGTGGAAACTACATCCAGTTTAGGAAGATCCTGACATGAAAAGTATGGGAAGCTAGGAGAGTTGTCTAGGGAATACTGTACACTTGCTTTTCTTTTCTACTCTTTCTCAGCCATAGCCTTAATGATACTGTTGAAGATAGGATAGTGAGACCTTTGAGCTCATTATTTGGAACTGTGATTCTGATGATGATGATAATGGGGTAATTGGTTTGTGGAGTGACTAATATAGTGGTAAAAAGAATCTTGGGAGTCTGATAAGTAATTTATTGCAATAAAATAGAAATAAAAATGTAACAAATAAAATTTTTCCCTCTACTTGTAGGCTTGTACTGGTGCCACTGTGGTGTCTCCTAATTCAAACAACTGAAAGAGGAAGAAATTTTAGCCAGTGTTCAAAAACTCTTTTCAAAAAGAGAAAAATGGCAGAGAATCAACTGAAGACTCCATTTCTGATTATAAGTACTAAAAAAAAAAAAAAAAAGGAAAAATAAGGGTAGCAGACTAAGAAATACAGACACTCTTCAGCTGTCACTGTGAACAGTGAAATAGTAAAAATTTGCAAGCCAGACTTCTTAAACTGATCTCACATTATCCCAATTTGACATTTCATATCCTGTCAACTGAATTGACAGGATATGAAATGTCTGGACTAGACTAAAGACAGTCATCTGTTGATTTTGGGTGTACTTCTGCATTTGTGCATCAAGTGTTACTTCACTGTAGTTCGAAGAGAAAGACTACAAGACAGCCAAGTGTTAATCATTAAAAATATTCAAAGCTATGTCATGATGCAAAAGCAACAGTCCAATTTGAAGGTGAACAGAATGAAGTCCCAGCAAACCAGCTCTGGTAGGAAGCCCTTTCTCTGCTGCAGATGATGCAGCTAAAAGGAGGATACACAAACAGAGCAAATAAAAAAAAAACCTTAGGGATTGCAATGGAAAAATCAGCTGTTGTAGGATTATGACAGGGAAATGGAGGTGCAGCTCCAGCCATCTGTGCACACAACAAGGATACTTTCAGCACAGGGGCAGGCATTTACCATAAGGAAAAGGCACAGGCTGCAGCAGAGCTCTTTGTCTTGCGAAAGAGAAAGAGAGTAGCAAAGAAAAACCTACTGAGAAAAGAAATAGTTAAAGGGAGAAGCAAATACATTTTGCAAAGCAGAAATACACTGGAAGCCATGTAATCCTTGGCTTACATTTTACTTCTCCTTTTGTCAGTTTCCCATAATTATTCTCTTATTCCTCTACTTTTATTGTTTACATGGCTTTTCTGTCTCGTGGGCTATGTTTCTTCGGGTTGTGCAAGCACTTACATTGTGCAGTACTCATTTCCTTGCTTATATTTTAGAAGAGAGTACTTTTTATTTTTATAGTAGTATTTGTAGTAAAGGAAGTAAAAATATTTCATGTGGAAACACTAAGCTGTGAAGCAAAAGTGACCTCTTTGTCTGTGGGAGACAGAAGCTGGATTGTAAGTGCTTCTGGTTTACAAATTCCTGTGCTGGTATTTTCATTGGGATATTGCAATAA